CATTACCCGATAATGCTCGATGAAAACTGAAGGGATGGGAAAATCGGATTAGCTCTTCAGGATTTGACAGTGCTTCATTTTTTTCCTGACTACCAAAAGGTGGAACGATATGTACTTGTAAATAAGTAGTCACAATAGTTTTTTGACTGGCTATCCACAAGATTCGAGGGACAGCGATTTCTTGCTGAAATTTGGATTTTGCATGAGAAGGCCTGGTACTATGGGTTAATCGTTACTAGAAACTCAGTATGGTTATCGCAAACTTTTGCGAAAGACAGCGCCCTACATTTACTGCGTATGAATAAACTAGATCATAGTAGAGGAGTTGATTCATTGCAATGGTATGCACGTAAGAGAGATGTGAATGCATAACTTCCCCATCGACTGCGACCCCAATCTAATCTCTGATGCTTGGGGACTAGAATTTCGCGCGGAACCCCCGATGCGATTGCTCTGGTGTTTGATCGCTTCGTTGCTTAGTATAGCGAGGAAAGAACCAACGATCCATAGCTGAGCGAATCGATGCTTACGACACGTGGCCCCGCAGCGATAAACAGTAAACAAAGGGGACTTTGAACCTCGATGCTCGGCTGATTACTTTCGGTTGATTAGCCACTAACCACCAGAGACCAGCAGATAAGCGGCAACGTCGAAATAACCATGCTATCTGTGGTAAACATATGGATTGATCAAAAAATCAAATGTTGTGAAAATCATGCAGAAGCATGATTAACGAAGATGTGTGACTGCACACAGCGTGCACATTGCGCGTAAAATCCAGATAGTATTGGTGAACGATGCACACTCGCGCAAAAAGCTTCTTTCCTCGTAAATACTATCCTTTCAAGTAGCATGCTGCTCACCTTCGTTGAGATATATGAGCAAGAAGAGCCAAAATCCAGGCGACGCGCAATATGCATATAGTGTTCAACCTCACATTAGTCCGACTTGATTACAGATTTGGAACGAAAAGACTTCCACTTTCTACTCCCATTCTGAGAATCAAAACTATCTTGCAACGCCAAGACTTGTCACTTTTCCAACACAGGAATTCAAAATTTATGTTGGCCTTGCAATCTTGGAACCGGATAACATAAAAGAGAACCAAACAAGCTCGGGAAAGCTTTGTTTATTCAAGAACCAGCACCGCTGATTGCTTGCTTCGTGAGCGGAGCAGTTGTCCGGATTACTCTAGATTCATCATGTATTCTCCCCCAGTGACTAAAGTTGGCACAAGTATCGGAAAAGATTTCAACTTTAAGATCCACATACGTTAGAGACTTAGATAAATTTTTAGCTAAAAATTTTAGATAGTATCCCTGATATAGGAAGTGATCGAAGCATTGACAGAAAACAAACCGATTTTGCAAGGAAATTTTATTTGTTAATAAAAGATGGCCAGATACACATTCACAACAACATTCATATTCACAGGATGAGGCCGATCCCCCAAAATCATATAGATGAGATACCTAGCGCAAACGAATCATTCATTATACGTTCCGTACATTTGTACCAAAGCGGCTGCTGTGGTGAGAATAATTTATGCGCATACCATAGCTAAGGGACAGCCATGAATCGACTTCGTTTGCATGACCATAGGTTCAATAATTACTGCGGATATTGTAGCGAAACAGGATGGGTTAGCGAACAAAGGTAGCCAGTATTTTTTGGAGTTGGTGTAAAACTCTATGAAATAATATGTAGGGTGAATTTTGTCTCTTCGAAACTGCCTGATACTACTTCAAAAACAAAACAAAAACATGATTTCCTTTGAAAACAATTCTACAGTGGAGATCTGATTTTCCTCTATTTCAATCACTACGTTACTTTGGATATGTCGAACTAACCATATCAAAATCAGGTAAAGGAGTCCCTAGATTCGTACCAGATACTCGGAAAAGTTCCTTTTTGAGTAACCACGTATTCCATGACAGCTAACTTAATAGCACAATGTTGTTACTGAAGGTCTAAGTCAATGAAGTCACTATATAGAAAAGTGAGTTTGAAGTCTTTCAAAGAAGTAAATTAAACCGTCAAACCACAAAAATCACTAATTTTGTCAAGCAGAAATTTATAAACGAGAATCCGGTCCAACATATAATTACTACCTATTGGTCCCTACTCAGTGCCTCTCGGTCTCCGCGGTCCCCATTGCTTCTAGTTTAGAATCGATCAAAACACTGAGCGAGGTGGAAATGATGGACGAACGTCCACAACGTGTAGTCGACGTTCCGAGCCTTGTCACTCCTAATGTAAACTCGGAACCTTTGTGCATAAACAAAGGAAGAAAGCAAGACTGTGAGTGATGACATGGAATGGCTCTCATTTGTTTGAAGCCCATGAATGCTCAGAATAATGTCATATAGGCGGCATTTAGGGCATTTTGGCAAAACAATATTTTTTCGTTGCAGGTATTCTTTAAGGATTGGGACAATATCTTGAGAATGAAAACTGTGTTTTTGTAGTATATTAGGACAACTTGTTTCAAGGAGAAGACTTCGCAAGAGGTATGATACTTGAATTACTTTTATGTTCCCAGAATTTGCCAGAAGGTTTGCAAATGCCATCTAAATATAGAGTACAAGCTCACCACATTTAGGTTAAAAAATAGGTTCGCATAACGAAAAATCACTGAGGAAAAAACCCTTCTCCGAATTCCAGAAAACATTGTTTCATCCCTATTGTCTGAAAACTCGCCAAGGACCACGATTTTGTGGGCGGAATTTATGTTTTCCACTATCTGTGATAATTTGGAGTAATCTTCTTTTTTTGAAGAAAATGATGAGAAATCAAGCCTGGAGAGTTTTGAAGGTTCTGAGAGTTAGCTGAAATCCTGCATAGAGAAGGGTTGATGAGAGGTTTTCATGTATATATTGAGTACATGACTTTCTAATGCCTTTATGAGAAAGTTGCTCAGAATGGTCCAGTAAAACTGAAACAAGTTCTATTTATTCTAATGGCACTACAAATGTATTTATTTAATTTGCCCTGCTAGCGACCCCATGGGTAGCTAGTCCTGAGAATTAGGGCTTTGGAAAGGATAACATGAGCAAAAATGTGAGGAGATTCCACTGAATAGTGTTCAATCAGTGAATAGGAGTTGTTTTAACAAATTTCAGTAAAAAAAATTACTGATAATTCAGAGATTTAGCTTACATGGTTCACAACTTGTAAAAAAGAATTTTCCAAAAATACACCTGAAAAGTTTTCCTTTACGGTCAGCTAAAACTTCTCTATGCCAAAATCAAGAAAGGTAAAAAAATAAAGCTAATCTGATGTTCGGGCTATTTTTGGAATAATCTACCATTTATTTGCGCCTGCTACATAGTATCATGCTCAGATGAACTATAAAGCGATTTTTTATTGAACAAACAGCACTAGAGTGATTTTTGTACCCTCATTTGCATCTGCAGCAGTAAGGACAAAGAGAGGTGGTGTTTTGCTCTAAAGAAAAGAAACATCGATCAGGCTGAGGTAAACAGGGCCACATGAACGTTGAGCTTATGTTTGAGACTTATCTGAGAATACATCATTCTATAATAAAGAATGGAAAGGGTCCTTACGTTGAGAAGTTGCGAAATGAGGCGAGTGATAAGGTAAAATTCAAGAATGATTTCTGGAATAAGAGGGCAAAATTCAAGTTTCGCCTAGGAGACTACAATCTTCTGAGTGCACCTTTCTGAGAGGAGAAAAATAGTAGTGATGAAAGAGAGGTTTGTATGACTCATAGGACAAAGTATTGTGCATTTTTGCGTGAAACGAAAAAGCATAATGGTATGACAAGATGATGTGATGATGTGTGATCTACATACTTTGATCAGAAATTCAAACAGATTAACTACTCTTTTGACGTCAGGAATTTTTTGGTAAAGAAGTCACTATATTCCGTATCAGTAAGAATTTTTGGATACGTTAAACTCAGCTACCTCAAATCCACTTCCTATCCTTTTTTCGAGTTGTATTTGACTTTCAGTCCGCACTATTTAGCACTTCCGGGAGAGGTACAATATGCACAATATAATATGCTATTTAATCAGCTCAGATTGGGTAAAAACGGTAATCTTTAACCTACAAACCAGAACGTAGGGGAAGGGGGAACACGGGACGCAGGTGAGCAGGCTATTAGCACCTCTAGGTGGATACAGAATACAGCTAATTTTGACCGGCTCAGCTGGGGTAAGCAAAACATTCGAGGTCTTCTTTACCCTACAAAGCAGGACATAGGGGAAAGAAAGCACGATATGCAGGTTAGCAGGCTATAAGCGCTCTTAGGGATATACAATACCTAGGCCGATCGATAAGTGATTTTTGGTCAGCTCAGATGGAGTAAACAAAACATATCTGCGGTATTCTTTGACCTATGGAGCACGACGTAGGGGAACGAAAATACGATGCGCAAGACCGCAGGCTATAAGCCTTTCTGGGGAGATGCACAGTACTGAACACGATCGATAATTGATTGCTAATCAGCCAGCTCTACATAAACTCCTACAGTAATCTATGACCTACATATCAGAAGATATGGGAGAGAAATTTATGGGTTAGTAAGGCTTTTGCGGGCAAACCGGGACAAAAAGGCATACAAAATCTTCCCAGAAATCAGCGAACAGGCCACATCCGCACGTTGAGAGTGACAACATTTCCCGTTCGCGCACACCCGCTTCGTTCCCAAATAACAACACACACGAAGCCCCGGCTAAGCGATCAAAGTTCATCACGTTTCGAAATCCTTCGCGGCCAGGCGTTGTTGACGACGCTCTGCGTCCCCAGAAACAACCATAGAGTAGAGGGGGAGCGCGAGCGGTAAACAACCCCGCCCCCCGCGTTGCTATAAAAGCGGGGCCACAACCGGCATCTCACAACCTCATGTGATTCCACACATTTACCCGCAATATATGGTTTACTCATGCACAAACACAATATTCGCCCTCAATTAGCTCTTGACGTCCTTGTTTCGTTCCCCACTTCCAAACCTGCAAACAACTTCCTTGTTTTTCAGAACTTAAACAATTAACTAACAATGAGCAGCCAACGCACTACCGCTGGAAACCCAGGACACCCCAACGTCCCCGAAAATGAGGGCATGATCCATATGGCTGGAGCCAAGGTCCAAGAAGTCGTCAATGCTGCTGGTGAGAAGCTCGCCAGTGCTGCTGAAATGGCCAAGAACACCGCCTACACCGGCTACGAGAAGACGGCCGAGACTCTTGCCAATGCTGGAGCAGCTGTAAGGGACACCACCGCCAATGTCATTGGTGGAGTAAGGGACACCGCTTACGCTGGCTACGACAAGGTAAAGATTTTTTGACTTTGCCTTTTTTGGAAGTTTTTATTTTGTCCTGTTCAAGGCCGCTGATGTCACCAACAGCGCCTACGAGACCGTCGCCGGAAAAGCCGAAGACGCCAAGGAAACCGTCAAGGACAACGCTGCCTATGCTAGAGATAAGGCTTATGAAGCTAAGGATAACTTGGCCAACAAGGCTTATGAGGCCAAGGATACCGTGGCCCAGAAGGCCGACCAGACCGCCGATGCCGCCAGCCGAAAGGCACATGAGGCCAAGAATTACATGGCCGATACTGCCGACAGCGTTGCCAACAAGGTAATGATTCATTCTCAGTTATATATTTGCGAGGTAATATTGTATAATTTTTTCTAGGCCCATGAGACCAAGGAACAAGCAGCACAGAAGGCTCGTGAAGCAACTAATGCCGCCAGTCAAAAGGCCTATGATGCAAAGGATGCCGCTGCTCGAAAGGCTGAAGATGCCAAGTGTTCTGCCAAGGATACGGTATGTTAAATTTCATCCTACCTCACCTAACCGTTCCTGAATCCCTATATTTTCAGACCAACTCAGCCCGAAACTACATGGCCGAGAAGATGCACGAGGGAGGTGACAAGATCCACACGTAAAGTGGATGTATGATAGAAGAACAGTTACCCCCTATTGAAGCCCGACTGTGTATATAAGTCCATTAATCGTCTATCTGTATGTGAAGTTTCTGTTGAACCCCTTTGAATGCTCTTTCTTATGGCGTGTCCGATAGTGACAATTTCTCTGGTAGATTAATGGACTGTATATTTTTATTTAACATTGATGTTGATAAGGATTTGATGCTTATGTATAAAGTTATGTAGAAATAACTGGTTGTTTTTGCAATCTACTCACACACAAAAAAGCCACATGACACATACGAGAATCAAACGTGATCTTTGAATAACACTTGAAGAATGGCATAGTAAACATTCCGCTTTGGATTACTGAGTAATTCAGATAATAGGGGTTTCAAGTTCTTCTCTCGAACCATTCGACATACATTTGTAGGCTTACCAAAGTAAAAATTATTCCACAGTATTCTGTATATTTATCATTTTGAGGGTACCGTGATGAATAAACAATTGAGTTGCATAGTGTATTAATACAAATATTGGAAAAATATCCATGTTATACCTGAGCAAATTATGAATAGAACGAAAAAAGAATGAAGAGTGATTTGATAAATTGTCTGAAAAATGTTAGAAAAAAAAGGTGGGATTGAACGTAATGGAAATTGAGTCAATGTTGGCGTTGATCGTTAACAGCTTGTCAACACTTCGATCCAACCTCTAGTGACCGAATAATGGGCTTTCTGCAATTGGTATCTTCAACAGATAACAACTAATGAGTAAGGGCTGTATGAAATGATAACCGTATGATCAGTTAGCCTAATGTAACTCTCATGTAAGGATCGGGTAATCTATCCTTTTTTTCCGAGAAATCGTGCATCTTCTTAATGAAGTCGAGTTTCTTAATGAGGACTCGACCTGCAATTTGCGAGTAATATGCAGCTTCTAGCTCAGCAATGAATAATTTCTTTGGGTGAAAGAATTAAATACCTTTAATCTTAGTGTAGGATGGATGATGTTCTTTGATCGTATAGTTTTTAAAACCAAAATTCAACATGGGATAGCTGGTAGCAGACTCGGAACGCCAAATATGAGTTGATTATAAGAATTCCATATCGGAGCCTGTGTGTAATTCGCAATAACTTCGTATTTCGAGCAAGATGGTAATGGCACTATCACAATTTACTTTTGATGTCCACAAATTCTGTGTTATTACTACTCTTAAAAAGAAAAAAAAACAGAAGTATGTCCGATCTCCGTGAAGTCCCCCTTGACTTTCGCGAATTTTTACGAAGTCCCTTTGACCCTAAATCCTAAACGTAAAAATACCCTCAAACGAAACGTCATCTAAAAAACACAATTTTTGTGTCTTTTTCGGCCTCAGAAATGATCCCTCTTCACTTTTTGTCCCAAAAACGATATCCAGCTTGCTTACAAGCCACCTGTGCCGAGCACCGCTCGGTAGGTTTCGTAAACTGTATGGTCAAAGTCTAAACCTTGTACGAAAGAGTATATGGTGTTAAAAAAGCAATATTTATAATTCAGATTTTGTTTTTTTTTGCTCTGCAACTATTTACGATGCTTACAGCTCCCCATGCTATCAGTAAACTAAGATAGAATCTGTACTTTGCACCGAGCTAGGCCTAGGGGTTGTTTTGGTCATCGAGCTGTGTAGGACAGATAGCCGCTGCAACCTGGTGATCACAGACCAGCTACGCTAGCATTACGCTCGTTTGTTTTCACTGAACAATCACTGGACGCTGATTTCACCTCGAATTTGATAGAAAAACATTTTTTGTTCCAGAAGTCCTTTTTTTATCGTAACCTGGGCTTTCTAGCATAAAATCGACATCGTATCATTTTAATCCTTATAGATGTTTACCAAAAATGTGTTTTCCGAGTGTAGAAGGCACACCCGCCCCTCAGCGTGTGACCTCTGTGTCTCTAGCGGAATTCAAATTGATCAGCTTTGTCTTTTGAATTTTAAAGTTCTTTCAACGAAAACTATTTGTTGTAACTCGTGGATGTATTGCAATCATCTTTAGCCTTCCAACTTCTGCAACTTTTTTACAGAAAATATGAAAATTATATTTCTCCTTCTTCTGATCGTCACTAGCGCCTATACAGACGGTGTCCTCCGCGATGCTGGTGAAACAGTTTTGGATTTGAAAGATGCAGCATCCGAAAAGCTCAGTGAAGCTGCCGAAGCTGTGAAGGACGCTGCTCGATCGGCTTACAATTCTGTAAGTTGTTTTTCGAAAATCACTTTCGTATTCTACAGTTTCACAATTTTTCTGAGTCACCATGCACTCTACCGTAATTGTCGTAACCAACAGGCATCCCAGATTACCGGCACTGGAGATGAGGAAGCCGAAATGGCAAGGGAGACTGTGGAAAGGGGACGAGGAGCAGCAAAAGAAAATTTTGAAGAAGGCAAGCAAGCTGTTGGGGATACAGTGGAAGCAGGCGAAGGCGGAGCTATAGAAATGGTAGGGGATGAAGAAAATTTTTTTGAGAAACTTTCAAACTTTTTCCAGGCGAAGGGCGGTAGAGACTTCGCCAGCGAGAAGTTGGTCGAAGGTTATGATGCCATGAAAAAGGAGGAAGAATTGTAAACATGAATTTTGTTATGTAAATAGTACTGTAATTTACTTGTATGTATGACCGTTTGATAATAAAGTCGTTTTTTTTATCTATTTTACTCGAGTTTGAGATTTTGTGCGCCCCCTTCGATAAAATTTTCACTCCTTCGACATTTCCGTTCAGCTTATCGTTTATTATCGGTTTTTTTCTACCCTGCAAAGAGAGGCGATCGATGCAAAATTGCAATTTCTATGTTGCCTAGGGCAATAACAAGACTCTTTCTTGTTGACCACAGCACCTTCACCATCGTACGGGGCCCGAGAGACCGAGGCCGTCAGACGCTCCGCGCTGTCATGTTGATGTCGAACGGCTGGGTTTGGTCCGAATGCTCCCTCGATGTGTCATCGATTCCCAGTGACGAAATGACCGCGAGCCGAAGATTTTTGAAACTTATTGTTTCGAAAAGATTTTCGTACCTGCAGTGCATTTCAAAAGTGATTTCATTATGAAGTACGCGAAACGGCTACGAAATGAAGTCTATGAAACTGACTGATGAACGAATAGTATGCTACAGTGGCCATAGCATCATGCGGGGCTGATGTATAACTGGAAGTTATGGAATTTCGCATTTTAAACCTGCTATGAGGTTGTTCATAAGTCTTTCCAAATTCGAACCCTTAAATTGAAACTTCTCGAGAACTAGAGCACAGATATGGCTGCAAATTTGTGGCAGTATTTCTGAGTTAATAAGATATATATATATATATATAATATATAAACACATATTTGCGAGAACACAGAACCGCTACACACATCTGGACATCAGAAGAATGCAGCAAGTGTATGACATACCTGATGGGGAGTGTGCGTGAGCGATCGCAAAGTTGTTCTGTGAGATACGATTATTTTCGTCTTTTTGGAATTTGGAATTTTTTTATTTTGGCTTGAATATCAATACGGATCAAGTCTGGTGTGAAATCTTGAACGTCTTGTAGAGCTTGCTTTGATCTTTAGAGTGGTAATTCGCCAACCTAAAAATACAAGAAGAAGTAACTTATGGTCTATTAAAAGACTTGTGGGACAATCTAATATTTTCGATAAATACTGACCCATCATGATCCCACAGCAAAGCCTTTGAACGAAGTTGAATTTATAGTAATCAAGCGAACACGAAAGATTGATGTTGAAACCTCAATAGATGCTGGAATCATCAAATCAAAATCCGGTTGTAGATATGAATTTTGATACGAACGGTGAAAGGTAGCAAATTCTATATTTGCTTTTCTGGGTTTCACAACCTAACAAGGGAATGGTCAGAAACCGAAGTGGTCATTCCAGACAAGCTGCGTATCGTTAGATGCAGCATGAAGCGCTGACTCTAAATCTGTCTTCTTTATCTGCTTATCGCTTTTCTGGACAAAGGTATAAGCCATTAAAGACCATTATTTTGCGTAGAAATTATGCGTGAAATTGAAAATTTTGCCGTACAGAGCCTCGTTCGCCTCAAAGCTGGGCCAAAACATGCACCTAGCTTACTTAAAATTTTTGAAGCCAGAAGCCGAGCTAAAAGTGCAACAATCTGCCCAATTTCGCTGTTTTTATTTATGATTTTTTCACAATAAAACCGCTTGTAGCTTCGTCCACAGAAGCGGGAAGCAGATAAGGAAGACAGATTCGAAGTCAGCGTTTTATACTGCATCGAATGATATACAGCTTCTTTGGTTTGGCCACTTCGACTTCTGACCATTCCCTTGTAAGTTGAAATGAAGCGCGTAAATCATCGAATTTCTTTGTGCAAAAGTGACTAGGTTAAGAGGATTTAATAGACACGGTGTTTCATAAAATGTGCACACAGTTTAATCGTCAATAATTCTCTTGCTTCAATGCCTTTTGCCGATCTTTGATTAACATTCTGTAGGGCTCGCTTCAAGTTACGTACAAGGGAAGATTACCTGATCGAAGGTGGTGTTTCTATATAAAATGAATTATGTTTTATTGAGCGAGACGTTGATTCCATATCTGTTTTTTTTTTCGACACCTGCAAAGCGTTTGGGAGGGGAGTTATGGGAATTTTATAAAGTATAAACTTAAGGGTTTGGCTAAAGTAGAAACACGTGTTGAGGTCTTTCGGGCGCTTGAAAGGAGTATTGGTTAACATGAGTTTAGACTGAAGATATTAATTTCATAAAGCGCCCAGTACTCATGGCCCCATCTGGGCTCACAGACTATGTATTCTGAATTATTTCATTGTAGCCGCGAGTTTAGATTTTTGCTTCAAAAAATCAAAATAACACCCCTCCCATGTGCGGTTTGCAGATATCGAAGACAATTTCGAAGTCAGCGTTTCATGCTTTATAAGATGGTATTTATTTCGTTCGGAAACCTCATTTCGACAAGTATCCTTCCCTTGTTAGATTCAAAGTATGGAACGAATCTCCGATCTCTCTTCGTTACTTTAAGATTACTGTTTGAACTTTCACCATGCAGCGCCATTGTGAATTAGGCCAAGTGAAAAAAATTCCAAAAGAATGTGGAAAATTGTGTAACAGGGCTTACAGTCATGCATGCTCAATTGATTACACATTAATTCACATGTTTTCTAAACTTTTTCGATGGTTTAATCACTTTTGATGGACTTTTAAAAAAATTGTAACGGTTAACTTATGAAAGAAGCACGGCTGTGACGTGCAAATCTCATATTCGAAATTAACGACTCTAGTTAACCTAATATGAGAGTGAGTTCTTTGGCTCGTTATCTGCTCCAAAATGCGACTCTTAACGGTTTAAGAACCTCAAAGTTCCTAGCGTAATCCTACAGTAAAAAAGAACGATTGAAGGCCCGCTTCACACTATGAATTTAAGCTGATGTAAGCCCTACAGAATATATTAGAGATCGTCAAAAGACTTTGGCAAGAAATTTATTGACGATCAAACATTGTCCACAAACTGTATATAATAAAAGGCTACATACATCACATACAATGAAAAATACAACACAGAATGGAACTTTTACTCTAAGCATTTTCCAACATAGTTCAGAATTTTTGCAAGGCTCATGTTCCAACCTGATAGGTATGCGTCATCCTCATGAACTCGAGGGTAAATGTAGTGGTTCTCGATATGGGAATGACTATTATGCGAAGTTCTAAGCTCTAAATAAAGTATGTTTACAAAAAAAATCAGAAAACTTCATTGCTTCAGAAGCAAAAAAAAACAGTTTCCCGCATTTATCTAATCAAATTTGCAATATCGCGAATTTTCTAACTATTCTGTACGTAAGTCATAGTCGGCAACTATTAAAATGGTTTTGCTGCTTATTTACACGATATGCGCCATAATACGCAGATTATACCTCAATAATAGCGTAGTTTCGCGTGTTTGGAGTTTATGCCGCTCTCGAAGACCAAGACTTTTCAATTGACATGGAGATGATACAACACTTGTAAATGCTCCTACCTTGTATGACGGCAGTAGCTCCGTTTCCAGCAGAAAGTAGTATTCAACTGGTTTTCAACTAAAAATTAATGCGGGAGAGCTGTAAATGAGGGGCAATCATAGATTATTTCGGATCTACAGCAATTTACTTGGGTTCAGAAGATATTGTCTTTTCTAGCCTTCACAAGTTTGGAAACTGCAATGTTCCGAACTCATTTTACGGATCTATCCGATCCACGCTGTTCAACGAACATCTTCCGCATTCGAAAAATGCACGGAATCAGATTAATCTTTGATTGCTTGAACGTTTCGTCGTACAAACCACGAACATCATAAACCATCGATAGATCTATGGACATTCAGGAGAATGATAAAGATCTAAATCATCAAAACAACCTCAGGGCTTATCTTGCACTGCTGAGAGAATTTATGACGTGTGCTTATATCGAGAACAGTCAAGCTCTTGGCCCCGCTATTTGTAGGAGCAGTTTCTAGAAGAAAATTAACAAATAGGTATATTTAGTATTTCTATGTTGGTTCAACAAAATCGGCAGATATTCTTCGGAAAAAAAACCAACCCTACTCTTCTTAAGACAAGCAGATGCAAGAGTATTCTCCAGCACCTCATAGAAGTTATTGGAACATTATTTCCTCGTCTTTCAAGGTTTTTTCTTTCAGACAAAAGCGGTCCTTGCTGATTTGAAGCTTACTTGCTTATGACACAAGAAATCTTATCAAGAATGCAGATAAATCAGACGTTATTGAGTGTTTTGTGCGATGTTAAACGCATATTGACGTGACTCAGCGTTTATAGTCGAGCACATTAGACTGGTAATGTGTGCAATTACACGCCATACACGCTCGAACAGAACTGTCGAAAGATAGATGAAGTAAACCTTCTGCAGCTACTTTATTTTTTTTTCTACCTAAGCAATGAAGTATAAATCATATTTCTTGGACACCCTAAAAAGTAGATTTTACCGTAATTTTTTTTGTGCAATTACACACACTGCAACAACTTCACAACTACTCTGTGATTCATGAACTTCTCTAAACTCCAGACATATTTCCGCTTACAAACATCGCTCAAAACAATTTTTTCCCGTCGATTATCAAGTTTCCAGGGTAACCGCCATACAGACAGGTTCGTTTGAAGACTGTCACTCGAAAACAATAGGTGATCCCTCCATAACGAGGTACCATAGGGCACCACATCAACACATCCCGCCTCCATGAGCAGAATATAAGGCCTGTCAGGTGTTAAGATTTATTAGATAGACACATTTTTCAGACTTTCTCAACTTACCAGCCCCCAGACTCCTCTTTCTCAGATTTGTCAGATTTTTGTTTCAGAAGATAAAAAATGACTACCATGCGACTACTGAGTATTGCTCTTGTACTTATCGCCGGAATTAGCGTTTATGCTGCCGAGGGTCCTTTGGCCACAGCTGGCGATGCATCACAGAATGTTGCCAATACCGTAGGAGATAAAATCGGGAACGCAGCAGAATCTGTGAAGAATGCTGCCAAGAACGCATATGATGTGGTAAGCTTTCCTATACCCTCAGTGAGGGCTAAAAATTAATATTTCAGATAACCGGGAAAGCCAGAGAAGGCACTGACGCTGCCAGTGACAAACTCGAAGAAGCTAAACAAAATGCAGGCCAGAAAATGGAAGAAGGAAAAAATATGGCCAAAGAAAAGTTGGATCAAGGAAGACAAGCCATGAATAACAAGGTGAATTGTACAAAACACCTGTTTCAAATAAAATTCTCTTCAACAGGCCGACGAAGCCAAAAACGTGGCCAGTGAGAAATTGCACCAAAGTGGTGATGCTATCAAGCCTCAGACTCTGTGAACCGAAATGACGTTTCCTGGAGCATCGTTGTTGTATAAAATCGCCAAAAGTCTCCTACAGATGTTTCCTGGAGCATCGTTGTTCTTTAAACTCGCAAAATTTGCACAACGTCTCTTCTACGATCGAGATGAATTGTAATTAGAGCTGTAACTAACTTCAAATATAATATTTGTTTGATAGTCCCTGACAGTGTTAATTATGTCCTTGTTGTATTGTTGTTGTGTTGTAAATAAACAATTCGAGTTTCGGCATGCTTTAAAATGCAAAGCATACGCGCCATCGTATTACTCACCAACGACTAATGGGCTCGCTCTAAACAAACAACACAGCCCCGCCAGATATTTTAAGACCTTGGCCCGTTGCCAAGCGATCACTGATCTAAGCGGAAAAAAATCGCTGACAAGAGAACATGACAGCTGCTGTCTTATCGGACACACTGGGAACTTGGCAGGCTTCCAAAAATATAATGAAATGATGTCATATTTTAGCCCTCGTCATCTAAAAGGGGTGCTTCTAAAAATGGCGCTTCAAGTACTGCGCACTCGCTTCTGGTTCATAGTCAAGATCTTCTAACTGGTAATGTGTGCAATTACACAATCTTACACAAGTGACCGGAACCTTGCAGAACGCATTGGGAAAATTCCTCCACGTCACCTGCGGAAGTTCCCAAGTGAGATGCTGCTGAATTTCCGAAAAATGCGAACCAGAACAGCAAAAGAGAACACCTAAGCGAGATATGAACCTTCCTCCATTGACTGCGAGACTCACTCACTTGTTCTAGTCGTTGACGAGACAGCATCGTAAGAGACAACACGTTCAAAACCTGCGGAACCGCTGGAACTTTCGGAAGTTCCGCAGTGCTTTGTAAAAAGTCCTGTGGATTCCCCTTTTCAACCTCTGATGCGAAAATCCTGCGAAAGTTCCCTGTTTTCAACCAGTCTGGCGTGATTCTGCTGGAGTTCCTATTTTCAACATTTTCACTTTTGCGATAGTGAACCAAACCGAACCGCTGCAAATTTTGCTTGTCCTGCGGTGAGATATACATGTTCGTAAACAAACAAATGATACCCTTCGTTATTGCAATTTTTCATTCAACTCAGTTTTGTTTATCATTCGGTGGACTAATCTGGGTACAAGACCAGGAAGTGTTAATTACTTTACCTGGTTTCTTAGGAACTTATATGGAAGCCTGTACAGATGGAGTAATGGTGCAATTGCATACTATAAGTCCCAAATTTGCTTGACTGTTCATAATTGATCGATCAACAAAGATACTGTTTCTCTCAGAATATAAGCCCAAAATATGATTTCGTGTAAAGCCGAGCAATAATTCTTTTTTTAGTTGACCTAAGAGCAAATTCTTACAAGAAGTAAGCATTTTTCTGAGAATAGGAAGCCTTGAATTTCCTCAATTCCCCAAATAGGAGAATTTTCCCGATAATTATGTGGCCAAGGCCATTGACATCGCCGTAGGCGAATCAACGAGCAACAGCTGTTTACGAAGTTTCCAGAGGAGATGCAACGATCACATCAATGCGGAGCAAAATAGGACGTTGTAAACATGCCCGCCTCCTTAGGCCTCGTATAAGAGCTGCCGGATGAAGGGGGATTTTCAGGAGACCCCGGCCAAAGTCATCGCTTACGAGCATTTGCATCCCCGACTGCTTTTATCCGTGTTCTCGGTTCTTAGTTTCGCCCGATCGTGTCATGCTTGGGTATCGTCGAACCCCTCCTTATTGTTGTCTTTCAGAAAAATAAACAAAATGACCTGCCTACGAGTTCTCTGCCGAAGTGCTGTTCTTCTATCAGTCGTCTTCGCCGTTGTCAATGCTGCTGAAGAAGGAGTCCTAGCCGATGCCGGTAAGGGAGCCCAAGATATCGTTAACGCTGCCGGAGAGAAGATCTCTGGAGCTGCTGAGACCGTCAGCGACGCTGCTGGAAAGGTGAAGGACGCGGCTGTCGATGGATACGAGAGGGTTAGTCCTTTTTTGAGGTTTCCTAGAGATTCGTCTATTCTTCAATATTGTAGGGAAGCGCCGCCGCTAGCGATGCCGCAGAATCCGCTGAGGATAAGTTCGAAGAGGGAAAAGAACGAGCAGAAGAGAAATTCCAAGAGGGAAAGGAAAAGGCAGCTGAGGAGATCGAATCAGGCAAAATTGCAGCCAGTGAGAAGGTAAGAATACCCTAAATAGCCTAATCACCAGACTAAATGATACAAATGCAAATTGGCGGAAGATTAAACCAAATTATGATTTTTTCAGGCCGATGAAGCCAGAGATTACGCTGCTGAGAAATTGCACGAATCTGCTGACGCCATCGAGTCGAAGTGAACTAGGATGTTGATCTCTAGTTCTTCGTATTTGTACAAACTTATACAGAGCATCTTACATGACCCTGTAGAGCTATAATATTATTTAAATAATACAGAACGAACTTTATACAGGTGGTAGTAATCAGTATTTGTTTTTGCATATTCTTGCCACTGTTATTTGTTCAATTGTAAATAAAACTATATGAAAATAAACTGTTCTGTCAAAATTAGGAGAAAGCGAAAACACGAGAAATATCGCTACGATAACTTTCTAAAAGAAGCACTTGGTGGGCTACTTGTGTATCACTTAGGATAAATAGGCTCAACAAATCCGGTGGATAGGTAAATGGAAAACTCGGGACGAGTATAAGTCGTGGAATCCTAGACCAAGACTTTACATTAGCATAAACAAAGTGTTTTTGCAGAGTCATTAGCTGTACGATCCATAGAAAGTCATTAGCTGTACGATCCATGGGCTCGAGGATTGACCTAATCAGGAATTTTTTTCCCTATCCCTGCCGTTAATGAAAGTTTCCCAGTTGCCGATAGGAATCGAAGTCTGTGCCTACTGGCATGACAAATCTGGTATAAACATATTTTGAACACCGTAGTTTCAGAAGATATCTTAAGAACATAATTTAAACAGTGATAGGAATTGCGTAAAGAGCTTCTAAATTCCCAAATATTAGCTAAAGCAATAGCTAAAGCGCTTTAATCAGATGGCTATTTGAAGCTCCTGCCAAGGCTTTACAGACTTGACTTTCATCGCATATTGTAGATGACAATAACACGTGAATTTTGCAGGTTGCCACAGGGTTCCTATTTACTTTTCGCTTATTTCCGATTCATAATACGCCATCCGTTCGCCGCCGACGTAATCATAGATTTCTAAAAGTCGACGATCAGGTTTCCATCTTACACTCACAGAATATTCGGGAACCAAGAGAAGATTACACTTTCGAAGCATTTCCTTGTCGTCGCAATGTTTGCGCTAATGACCACTGGGCAGCTGACCCAAGATTAGAGTTTACGTTCAAAGTCGTAGAAGTCGATGCAATACTCGCAAGACAATTAAGGGGCCACATGAAGGTCGATGTACCCCAAAATACGAGAAAAATGTGGAAGGAGCCAAAGGTGGAAGGCTTGTTCCTTGAGAACTAAAATTCCAAACCTTTCATGGATTTCCTGAGCACCAGGGCTGTCGCGAAGGTAGTTCAGAAATTCAGAAATTTGAGCTTCCAGTAACGGAAGCAAGATTAGTAACAACAAAGATGCACGCAAGAATTGGTATCTAGAAGTTTATGTTTCTTCCGATGATTTCATTTTCATCTCAGTCGCTCGCAGCTTGCTAGTTCAACCAAGTTGGTTTGAGAAGTGAAAATAAGCAATTTCCGTCTTGTTCAAGATTATGATTGGTAATTTCGAGTTCCCAACACTACATACTGTGAGAAAGACATCATATGAGTATTATGGGACGTATATTTATTTCGGATTTTCGAACAAGCTTATGTCGCTTACAGACTCCATGGAGTACCACAGCTCCAGTAAGAAGCGTATACATAAACCCACATTTCACTGAATCACTGAAGTAATGTGCAATCTAAAACTGCTTGATGGCTGAATTCTCCTACCACTCCTACAGTATGGTAGAGGGCATCGGTGCTCCGAGCAACACCCTCAATTTTTGCTACTCAGCCTCAGCCCTCAACAAGAGCAGGAAGGTGAGCCAAGTCGTGTCAAACGGCCAAACGATTGCTGTGAAACTGTTGTGGCCCCTTTCTTTCCATATGAAAAAATCGGGCTTGGTCCCCGGTATTTTTGGAAAAGAGGAACACTCTGCAGAGAGTGTGCCGCTGCGAGGTATCTATGTAATTAGCTGTTTAGCGCTTTGCATTCTGCAGTGATTTCGATAAACATGCAGCAAAACATCGACAATGCAAATTTTGAGCTCCATTGCTCCCGCGGATCTGCCGTACTATTGTTCGGATCAAATGCGACACAGTTTAACAAGATCCAAGCGAAAAGATTAATGTGTAGTTCGGTGAGCAGACAACGAGCTGGAGCTGTTTACCTGGATATATAGCAACGATCATCTTAAATCTTAGTTTGATAGGTTGTCAACAACCCGCCTCTGGGCTGAGTATAAGAACAGCCGGGAACATATTCAGACAGCCGCACGATTCTAAGCTCGACTTTGCGCCACTGTCGTTGTTTTTGCTGTGTTTCGTGCTTGCACATTTCCGCTATAGCTTCCAACGTTTTTTTTCACTCAATATTTTGAGTTTTGCACTTTAGATAGATATGCGAGCCTTGTGTCGAAGTGCTGCTCTTCTTTTCTTGGTCGCTGCTAGCGTTTTCGCCGCTGAAGACGGTGTCATCGCCGAAGCCGGTAAGAAGACCCAGGATGTCGTCGACACCGCTGGCGAGAAAATTTCCGGCGCTGCAGAGAAAATCAAAAACGCAGCAGTAGAGGGCTGGAATAAGGTTTGTTCGAGCCTCCAGGCTTTTCAAGGATTACCAAAAATTCTCATTCTAGGGCACCGGAGCCGCTGAGGAGACCTATAATGCTGCCGGAGAAAAGATCGAACAGGGCAAGGACGCTGCTGCGAATGCTTGGGAGCAAGGAAAAGAAGGTGTCAAAAATACAGCTAATGCAGCCGGAAATACTGCTAAGGATGCCGCTAATGCAGCCGGCAATAAGTTCGAGCAAGGCAAGAACGCTGCTGCGAACACATACGAGCAAGGAAAACAAGGAGTCAAGGATGCAGCTAATGCAGCCGGCGACAAGATCGAGCAAGGAAAGCAAGGTGTTAAGGATGCCGCCAATGCAGCCGGCGACAAACTCGAGCAAGGAAAACAAGGAGTCCAAGATGCCGCCAGTGCAGCCGGCGAAAAGCTCGAGCAGGGCAAAAATGCGGCCCAAAACGCTTACCAGCAGGGTAAAAACCAGGCTAACCAGAAGATGCAACAGGGTAAGAACGCCGCTTCAAACGCTTACAATGAGGGTAAGCACGCCATGCAACATCACAATGCCGGCCAAAAGAAAGATGATGGACCAGTGTTGATGGATATGGGAGGAAAAGTACCCGGCTCCTCTGGCTCTCCCAATACTGGAGCTGGATCCGGCGGGTCCGGTGGGTCCGGCAGGTCTGGCGCATCCGGTGGCTCCGGCGGCTCTAGCGGGTCTGGCGCATCCGGCGGGTCCGGCGGGTCTGGCAGTAGGATCCAAGCCGGCCAGGGTAAGGAAATGATCCACCATCCCAAGAACACCAGTCCTGGAGACCGCAAAGATTTCAAGCAGTACAACAAGGACGGTATTGTCAACGTATTCCACGAATCTCGAGGAGAAGCCGAAGCTAAGGTACTGTTACGGATCCTCTGATTTTCGCCCATACTTTTATTTTGTTTCCTTCCAGGTTGATCCCAACAGAGACTATGCGACACAAACGATAATCAAGGACGTCAAAGTAGTAAAAGGAACCCAACAGTGATGATTCAGTTACTTCCATCTTGTACAAATATGTACAGAGTATCTTGTATTGATAATGACGTCTGCGACCGAGATTTCTAATATTGCGCAATTCAATGTATTCCGATCCAAAACTTGCCATTCGATATTGCCACTTCATTTGTGTAAATAAAATTTTCTCGTCTTGAACTGGTCCCATCTCCATAAAGAGCGATTTGTGTAATCTGAGACATATCAGACATATCCCTTGTGGATTTTGGGTGATCAGAGATCACAGTCAGTAGCATTGTGGGTCCATACAAAAAAATAAACTGTTCTACAGTTTATGTAAACTACCACTATTATTGTTAAACTAGTCGCCCATCAACACTCGATAATCTTCGAGTTGGGCGGGATCACGACCCCCGGTCTATTAGAGTAATGGTAGAGGGATAGTTTTTTCAGGTCACGGAGCAATTGTGGCTGTTCATTCGTCATCTCGTTCTTCATCTGTTTTGTGTAGATTTGGTTCCCGTTCGTCTAGGTATACGGTAGAGGTCATTTTTATGAAGTCTGGATGACTTTTTGCTGCTTCAATGCCCAGGAGTTCTTTTTCAAAATTGGACTCAATTTCACTAATTCTTTCTATCGCAGTCAATCAGTAAACTAATCTGCGGTCCCCCGAATATGGTTCCCACTTATTCAAAGATGTAGCTGCAAGATCAATGAAGTAGTTCGATCGGCAGTAATTCGACCAATTCTGTAATATTTCACGGTAAATCAAATTGTTACTGACAGTCCAGCAACTTAGTGAAAGTTCACGGTAGATCAAGACTGCTTTGAGATCAGTATTCGACTACCGTAACCGAGATGTGACTGTCAAGGGCTATCTATCCAAGTCATTGAAAAGATTTTGTGTGCAAGAACAATGTATGTTATCTCAGCAAATGAAATTTTTGATCGGAGAAAACCATAAAACGGCAAATTTGTAACAAAAATTCGGTAAACTGGAAACCATGAGACAAGAATGCGAAATCCAAATTATCAGGACGTGAACTAGTAACTGTCCAGTATTTGTTAGAAATTTTAAGGAAATCTTCGTTCATGAATGGAAGTTTTCACTTTATTTTGTTGAAATAATTTGCTGTGCCAAACATGGTAGGTGAGTTATTTGTTATTTGGTGTTTCTTTGTTTTACGTTACTTTTTTGAACTCTGCTGATATAACTGGTCGACCTGCACATCAAGTTGCCAACCAACAATTACGGATCAAATGGTCACGAATTGAACTATGTGGAACTATGCATAACTTGTCGCTGATACAGCTTTACGGCATAAATTAGCGTACCAAAGATCGCCGAACAGTTTCTGTATAGATAGTGATCAAGAAACACTCGGCTGATCAATCGGAACGGGGCCAACAATGGATTTCCCCAAGTGACGTGTGCTTTTACGCCAAACACTCAATCTGCGCATGAGTCAGCACATAATTGGAGGTAGACGAGGAGGCTATGGACTGACCCACTCTATACCTCCACTATGGTGAAACAAGGCTTTTTTGAACTAGGGCAATGTCCCGGAAGTCCCCTGCTGCTTCCCTTGAGTGTCTGTTGCCATCAGAAATCGACCTATTCAGACAGATTACGACTTTTTCGATAATATAACAAAGGTGCTTGTGCGCATCACAGTGATGTAGGACATGTCGTAAACAACCCGCCTCCTTGGACAAGAATAAGAGTCACAGTATAGGGTGGTGGCTTACCTTAAAAGAAGTCGACTGAAGTGCTCGATTGGGTCAAGTTCTGACTCCTTACCTTCCTTTGTTCATTTGCCGAAGTTCTTTCGTTTACGGCCCACTCTCTGCCCCGCAGAATGCCACAAAACGTTAAAAGGACCCTATTTTCAGTATAAAATATGAACAACCTCCGACTCCTCTGCCGTAGTGCTCTTCTCTTCTTCGTTATCTTCCTCAGCGTCCGAGCTGACGGTATCTTCCGAGATGCTGGAAATACTGCCCAACATGCAGCCGACGCTGCTGTTGACACCGTCGGCGGTGCCGCCGGTGCGGTAGCGGAAGGTGCAAAAACCGGCTACAATGCAGTGAGTATCTACCGTAATCCTACAGTATCTTCCCCCAGATTTCGCTCTCTAAGGTGTGTCATATGTATATGCATTCTAGGTGGCCAATACTGCCGCAGACGCTGCTGAAGTAGCTCGCAAAGGAATCAAAGAGACTGTAGAAGACGCCGGAGATACGGTATGTCCTACAGAATTTTTTATTGCCCGAAAATTCCGTATCTCATATTTTTTCCAGGTTCACCAAGCTAGACACTACACTAGCGACAAAATCCGTGATGCGGCCTATGTTGTCGATAGCGGGTAAGAGAATACTTCTTTCTACAAAAATACAGAAACAATGTGTAATTTTTCAGAGCCCAAGGAGCGATGACGATTGCATTCTGTGTGATGCCGCTCTTCGTCGTCCGCTACCTCACTTGTTAAACACTTTTATTATCGAAGAGATAACGATTCGATTGTACATATCTAAGCGAATGTGGCTACTTTCACTTCATGACCGTAGCGCCATTGTGTCAAATGTATATAAATAATATGCGAATAAATATGTGATATATGCATTTGTATAAGACTAGCACCGTTTCTGCTACACTGCTGGAGTTAAAAGTGTTTGATTCTAGGCTATTTGATGAGTAAAACGATGAGCGCGATCGGTCATATCAAATATATAAGTAAAGAAGCTAAATTTGTGCTTGGACAGAAACTAAGGGAAATTATGAGGACTTGCCCCAGTTCACCCTTCCGTCTATACATATCTCATAAAACGCAGTAAATGTGAAGCTGACCTCTAACTTTATATTCATAAATCGTTTTACTCCGTCTAAAGGCAGAATGGAAAATGCAGAATACAAACAGGAATCAACAGAAAGCTTCAATGAACCTTCTCTAGCAATAAGTGAAAATTCCTCTAATTGAAGTTTGTAACTCAAATTTGTCCAGCTCAACATCTTAAAAACCCGCCACCTCTTGTTTCCCAGATGATGATTTGATAAATGCAGAACGGTGATAATGATAACACGAGATGAAGGAACCCCAAAGAGCGAATTTTAATCAGTTCTTGGGTGACATTTCATATTATTGTAAGGTGTTGTGGAGCTAAAGTGTTCAACTTAAGGGAATAGGGTAGGGTATCACAGGAAGTTCATTGAAGTGCTTTAACCGCATCCCTAAAGATTTGTGCAAGCTCAACGTAAGATCTTGTCGAATGAACAAGCAAAGACTACTGTACATTTTACAGTACTGTGCCCTACTCGGGCCAGACATAATCTTCGTGCTCTATATCAACTCTCATTCGATACGGGACCGAGCATAGGCACTCGATAACCTCCGACGAAGGCGGGTCCGACTGCTATAGTAGTCTAGCTCTGATAATGGTGCAGCCATACCCTCGCACAAGATCTACATCACTATACACTCTTTTTTCACCTCGCTCCTATAGGACGACCCTGTATTCTACAGTTTGTAGGTCAATCTACCGTAATCGTGCCGTACCCCAATCACACTTCTGAAGTTTTCTGTGTAGACGTATGTACTGAAGTCGATATTTTTTTTATCACTATGGCATATTTTGGCTGTTTAACCGGGTAATTGATCTCCCTCAATATTGCAACACTTGTCACAACCAGTTATGGTGTGATGACATGATGTCATGACAATCACATGAGAAAAACAGAGGTGAAAACAGCGTTGGTCTGTTTTGTTACAGTGGGTATGGAGCTAACATTGAATAAATTTTCTAAAAATAGCGTTATTGTGCGTCTAATCTGCAGAGTTTCAATTTTAATGAAAGCTTTGAGAAACAAATTCTTTAAGTTCTATAGGAGTCACTTCTTTATCACTTGTTTGTCGTCTGATGTACTAAAGTAAGTAAACAGGTGAGGGGGTACCAAACATCAAATGTCTGAAGATTATCTGACTGATCATGGACTTTGACCCGGCTTAGATACTTTTGGATGGAGTAAGGAAGGTCCCCACCATCTACCGCTGCCAGTAGCCCATTTTTGCCAATTTTAGGCAGATCTTCCACCCCTCCTCCGCAGTTTTGAAAATAATTCTTTCCCGCGCTAATGCTTAAGCCATTCGAATGAAGATTGCGTGTTAGTGCATCAAAGACCTACTCCGCGGACACGGACCTGGGGGTTGTTTACGCTCATAAAAACAGACACAATCGATAAAGGAGAGAGTAAACAGCGAACATGGAGTAAACAAGTCCCGCCTCCTCAAGCGAAGCGAATGCAACACAGCACCACGGTTGTCGCTCAGATAGATTTTTCTTCGTGTATCTGTGCGTGTTGACGGGTTGTCGGTCTCTACCGGTCCTATAGGGTCGAAGGGTGTAAATATACAGTCTGGGTGCTGAAAGTTTAGTGCCTCGTCTGATTTCTTTAGACCTACAGTAATCCTTGTCAGATCTCTTCATCCGGTACAGTCGGTCCCTAGATTCTTTCCTTCCCATCCGGTCCACTAAAATCTGTCTTGTTTCATATTTTTTGGACTCAAAATAGTTTTTTTCATTCTTCTCCTTCTCCTTCCACTTCGCTCGAGTCTACTCGAATACCGTAATCATCGGCCTTCTTTCAGGAATTCGAAACTCCTCATCCTAAAATTGCAAACATGGCAAACTTACGATTTTTGCGAATTATCTTACTCGCATTTTTGATCTCCCCTGCTGTTCAAGGCGATAGCCTTTTGGAAACAGCTGCTCAGTATGTGAAATCAGGAATAAATACGGCAAGTTTTTGAACATATCCACCCTAACATTTTCACAGCGAATAGTAAAAAATGTACGTTCAGATTACTGGAACTGGATATGACGCAAAAGAAGCAATGGAGGAGAAGGTAAGTTCATTATCTGGAATAGTCTCAACTGGAATTAGCTGCAGAATATGTAGTCGAAAATCACCAGTTAGAAAATAGTAGTAAAATATTAGTTTTCGGGCCCTGTGAAGGTCAAGCAACAATTTTTCAGTTGAAAGAAGGAGCAGATTACGTTGACGAATCGCTACATGAAGCCAAGCACTCTGCTCAGCAAAAGGTGCTTTTCTGAGTGGTTTCTTATCTCGAAAAAAATTTTTCCTGGAAATATTAGCTTAGGTTTCTCGCTGTTAGGTGTTAGTCTAGGGACTCTTTAGTTAGACTTCTTCTGGAATGGAAATAGCTAAGTAATGAGCAAAAATTAAAACCTTTTAGACAAAGAAAGTTGGAGATGCAGCCAGAGAAAGCATGCATGCTGCCAGAGATGCCGCTGGCCAGAAATATCAAGAGGGTAGCCATACCGTTGAAGATCAGGTAACATTCACAAACTTTTTTGGCCACACTAGCAAAATTACTTTAATGTTTATTTTACAGGCAAGAAGAGCAAAAGATCTAGGTGAAGAGAAAATGCTTAAAGCCAAGCACATGGCTAACCAAAAGGTGAAGTTTTCAGTACAATCTGTTATTAGTGCAGGGATCATGGTGGTGTGTACCAGTTACCAGATTATTCCATACATTTACCACTTCGTAATTGAAAAAACCTGGAAAGTCGAAGGGTCTGGGAAGCCAACTATTTGAAGACGTCACTGTTCGCTAGTAACAAAAGGAGTTTTTAAATAAATAATGTGTAATCAAAAGCTTTAAACTGCTCCCCTGCAAATAAATTTAGCTAAATAAATTTTTTAGAACTCGCATGATAGGGTGAAATTATCCGGTTGGCTTGAAATTCGGCCGCTTTTGCGGCTCCTTTTCTCCTCCACCTGCAGGCAAATTTTTGTCTAGTGCTTGGTATCTCTGGAAAGAGCACTTTTTTAGAGAAACAGAATACAACTTGAAATTGCATATTGTTTGATAGAATTAATACTATGAGGAAAAATCATCAAAGAAGTGGAAAACCGCAATTTTCTTATGCGCAAATGTGAGAAATATTCGTTATTTTGTTCAAAGACTTCTCGTATAACTTCTTTACTAACGGTAAAAAGTTCCGAGTAATTGCCATATGATTGTAGAAGCTTTGGGTTAAATCTCAAAATCAAAGCGAACTGGTAATTTTCTAGCCAGCCTAATATTTTGTAGCCAGAATAGTATACTGTAAAAAACAAAAAATATAAAATATTAAAAAAATAACATATAAAATATGAAGTATGAAATGTAAAATAAATGTCATACGAAATCGTTCTAGGCACGACAAGCCTATTACTACTACGACGAAGCTGGTAACAAGGTACTGAGGAGATATTTACGCCAAAATTTCAACGCTTAGCTATGCTTTGCAGATTAAATACTACAGAAATAAAGCGGGTGACTATGTCGATGATGCCGGAAACAAGGTATTGAACAAATTTCGTTTGAAAGTGACCTACCAATAAAATTTACATCGTACAGATGATGTATGCCAAGATGAAAGCCGGTGAATACTACGACGATGCTGGTAACAAGGTAATTAATTTAATTTCAATTGAAGTTCAATTAAAATGGTGTAATTTGTAGCTCAAATACGCCAAAGACAAAGCCGGTAATTACGTTGATGAAGCTGGAAACAAGGTACATACATTCCGATCGTAAAAGAACTTTCGAGAAAAATTTTTTTGTTGCAGATCAGATTCGCCTCAAACAAACTTGGTGATGCAAAAGATGCGATCTACTATTACATCGACGAAGCTGGTAAAAATGTAAATAAATTTCTATCAGCAGAAAAAAATTTATTCTCGAAATCTTGTTTTTTGCAGATAATGTACTACAAAAACAAAGCCGGCGACTGGGTCGATGATGCTGGAAGCAAGGTACTGGACACATTTAATTTACAAAAAAAAAAGATCTTATAAAAAATTGTATTTTCCAGATCATGAACTACGCCACGTCAAAAGCCGGTGAATACTACGATGATGCTGGTAACAAGGTATCTATTACTACAATAGTGCTGGAGCGGGTGGGGGGGGGGGGGAGGAGGGTTCCATGAAAATGGGTCGCGAAATTTTCAATATTTACTTACATGGGTTAAAGAAATGTGCAAGTGACTTGCTTATTCCTGTGTATGCTTATTCTTGCAAACAATCTTGGTTCCGGCTACAGCAGCGCCAAAATTTTCTAAATTTCCTGAAAATTATTGGCCTTGTAAAAATTTTTTTCGGGAAACGTTGTAGGCCCGCAAAAGTTTTCCTAAAAAATTTCTTTTGGAGTGTGTGGTAAACGCCACGCACCTTCATTTGAGGACATTTTTTGCCGTCCAGCCCCCTCCCCTTCCTCCGAGCGGAAATGTTGCGACCGCCATTGATCTACGAGATGATTTACTGCCATTGAAATACTATATCTTTTTCAGCTTAAATACACCAAGAATAAAGCGGGTGATTACGCTGATGACGCTGGAAATAAGGTATTGAACAGATTTTGATTGTAATAGATCAACCAACAAAAAATTGTATTTTGCAGATCAGATTCGCTGCAGATAAACTTGGTGATGCCAAGAATTCTGTCTATTGGTACATCAACGAAGCTGGTAAAAGAGTGAGTAGATTGTGTAAATGCCAAAAAACCTACTCTCAGCAAAATCTTGTATTTTTTAGATCATGTACTACAAAAATAAAGCCGGTGACTGGGTAGATGACGCTGGAAATAAGGTACGGATACATTTTTGTTGCAAAAAGATTAGATCTCTTTAAAAACTGAATTTTGAAGATCATGTGCTATGCGACAAATAAAGCAGGAGAATACTATGATGACGCTGGCAATAAGGTGATTATTATATTTATCAAAGCCAACCTTTTTTCATGAAGGTACTGTATTTCTTTTAGCTAAAATACGTCAAAAACAAGGCCGGTGATTACGTCGATGATGCAGGAAACAAGGTATTATTGATCTGGATTGTGGAGAAAATCTTCAAAAATTTGCTGACTCAAAAAATCAAAAAAAAATCAATGAAACGGAAAAAACTAAAATTATTTCATTCTCTGTCTATTTTAAATATCTTGACTAAAACCTCGATTATAAATAATTTTATTGACAATTCTGTTTTGCAGATTCAATGGACCAAAGAGAAACTCGGTGATGCATACGATTACGTTGCCGATACCGTGTCAGATGGGGTCAGTGGAAATCAGGAACTCTTCCATGAGTCTGTCCAATCAATATACATCTTTTTCAGCTAAAAGATGCAAAGGACTACGCTGGTGACACCGTAGACAGTGTCAAGCGAAAGGCCAGTGATACCGTCGACAGCGCCAGGCAAGCGGCTTCAGATGCCAAGGACTACGTCGGCGATACCGTCGATGGAGTCAAGCGAAAGGCTGGAGATGCTAAGGACTATGCTGGAGACATGGCTTACGAAGGCGCTGACAAGGCGAGTGGAACGGTTAGTACTTTGGTAAGATCTGGGTAATGGTTTGGTTGTGTGCGGTTAGTACTAGACGCTTGCTTGTAGATAGAAGAAAAAATATCGGGCATAGGCCTAGGAAATTTTTTGAGGTCAGCAGAGTTTCTTGATTTTTTGAAACTGCTATGCAGTGCAGCACAAGCTTCATCATTAACCAGTGACGCACCGAGGGTGAGGGGGGGGGGAATAGGGTTCAAAATTGTCCACAAATTCAAAAACGTGCAGTTGACTCGTTTTTTCGGAATTTTCTCAAAATCAACTTAGCTCCGTTGAAAAAGCTGTCAAAATCTGGAGTCTAAGTTAATTTGCAGAAATTTCGAAAAGCATCCCAAATGTTCCCCCGGGGACCCTATCATCGCTACCCCCTCTCATTCTGATTTCTCAAACCACTCTGACCAACCTTTGACTTGCTAGCTGGGTCAAAGTATAGTGACAATCAGAGTGCGCTAGCCTGGTTTCCGAATATGAGGAAGTTTTGGATCCAGGAAAGGGGGAAGGCGTAGTCGTCAAAATGCTTATTTTTCTAAAATCTAGATCCGTTCTTTCAAAAAAAGGTTGAGACACGAGGTTACTATCCGGAAATGTTCTCGAAAAGCGTCCCAAAAATTCTTCCCGAAAGGTATATACGTCATGTCCTTTTATATCAATTTCGTACTGTCTAAAGCTTGTGAAGACACTCTGGTCACTTCGGGATGAGGAAGAAGAGGGGGCACACTCGGCTGAGAAAGATCTATCTGGCTGACCATTTTGAATCTAATAACTTAATAAATGTGTGCTCAACGCTAATAGTCCGTCCATAGAATAGTTGTTTGTGCAACGATTTCATATTATAGCTGAAGGCCGCAAAAGATTATGTGAGCGAGAAGCTTCAAGACGTAAAAGAATACGTAGGTGAAAAACTCGGAGTTGCAAAAGATTATGCAGGTGATAAATTGGAAGACACCAAGGATATGACCGCTGAATCTCTTGAGAAAGTAAAGGACATTCTGGGTATTAATTTTGACTTCTTGAAAAAACGATTTTTTCAGCTGAAACAAGCAAAGGATTATGCTGGCGACACGATCTACGACACCGCCGGTGCAGCTGCAGATAAGGTGATTTTCTCATCCACTTATAGCATTAAAAATTTTAAGGAAATTTTCTATATTTCTAGTAATGGGAGTTTTCAAAAAGGGGTAATGTTTATAGAACTGTGTAACTGGGGGTGTTGCAAAAATTGCCCTAATGTACTTGTGCATGTCGTTTATTTCAGTTGAGACAAGCAAAAGAATATACCGGAGAAAAACTCGGAGATGCAGCCGAAGCGGTGCTTATTTGTCAAATTTTCCAATCGTGGAGGTTTTCGCTCGTAAATATAATGTGATTTATTGTAATTTTCTAGGCCAGACGTGCTGCTGAATATGCTGGTGAGAAAGTCTATGAAGGCAAAGACAAGGTACTTTGGAATCGTATTTTTTACACTACTACCGATAATTTTTGAATTTTAGGTGGTAGATGCAGGAGGATATGTAAAAGATAAGATAGTTGATGGCAAAGACGCGGCTGCCGATACGGTAACAATCATCTAACCTTCTCGTAAAAGGTGTCCTTTTACTTATCCTTTCAGATCGTAGACGCTGCGGGTTACGTGCACGAGAAGGTCCGAGACGCTAAGGACTACGCCGGCGAGAAAATAAAGCAAACCGGTGAAGCCGTGAAGAGGACCGAGTTGTAATCGTTCATGTACTTGTAAAAAGAAGACTTGTAAGATATGTACAGAGCGCTCATTGTTTCATTTCTTGTTGCTATAGTCCCTCGTGTAATTTAGAAACTGAGAGCAGGCATCTTGCTCTGGGTCGTGTCACTTTCTCATAATTTCGATTTGTGAATAAATTTTGCTTGCCTACTTGTGTAGAAAATATTACTGGGCATGAAGATTTTGTATGTCAATGAGAAGACATGATACCTTCAAACTCGACGATTTGGTCATACTAGTGCCTGGAGGTGGTTTTCAAACACCTTCGTAGAATATGTGATCCATTCCTGGCCAGCTAGGATGCAAAATACCAAGTTACACAAATTTCACTAATACTTGAGATGAAGTTTAGGTGGTCATCTGAGATTCCTGCGCGGCTCAAAAGGGCTAAATTCCAGATTTAAATGCTACTTAAAATTCACTGCTCCCCTACAACTCGCCTATCACATTCCGTCTTTATTCGCCTTTAACTTCTATGTGGATTCGAAGCCTACCGGATGATTTTTTATTTCTTGGGGAATTTAGGTTCCTAAGGGACCACACCAGGACCATGGGCTCAATATCACTACAATTCTGGGCAGCTCGAATTTTGACGCGAACGACTATTCTATTGCTTGATTGTTTCAAGATAAATCTACCTCAACTGCGACCTGCCGCAACTATTCCCTACTCCGATCCTTATCGAATCCAAATTCAGCCGGAAACGCACAGCTCACAAAACAGCAAACAATTCTCAATTACTGGAAAAATCGGTTCAAGCGAATTTAGATTGGTGGACCACACGATATACTGTAATGCTGTAATTTTTGCAGAACTTGAAATGTTTCCAGTTTTCGTGCGCCGATCTGGGATTAAAGAAAAAGATTACCCCAATAATTTCATGAGTACAAGGCGCACCTTTCTTGATTTTTTGAGCAAGCCGCTCACCTCGCTGTTTTCAAAAAGTGAGACTTATGCCGCTTGTACTTTCAGGCAATATGCAGCACTGCACAGGGTCCTTTGGTCGAGAGATTTTTTTGGTTCGTTTAGGCTGGTCGAATTTGGAAAAAAGAAGCAGGTGTCGTAAAAATAAAATACTAATTTTGGAAGTCTCGGGTACTTTTACGCAAAGCCGCGTTTTTCCTGGGCAATCAAGGATCAGACCACGTATACAGCGCACAATGATATTTTGGGGTTATCACAGTATCCCCCCCCCCCCCTCCAAAGGCTCGACCAGTATTATTATTTTATGATTAGATCTCTCTCGCTCTCACTTTAGCCCGCAATAGATCCGAATAGCGCCGCTCGTTTCCGCATCGTTTTCATAGTCACCCGCGTCCCGCCCGTTTTCACAGCGATGCAAAAACACCGCGGTGATCTCTGATCAGCTGTCTGCGCCTCGACGTCGGGGCTTCCCCTCGCGGTCTGCGCGCGTTGCAAGCGCCGCTCACGTGCCATTATCTGTGCGGCAGCAAATAAGCGCATGCGGCGCGCGCGTTGTTTACGCCGACACCTCCTGATCTCTGAAACGCTGTGGCGCCCATGTGTTCGATAACATGGCCAGTAAGCAATGAAGTTTCGTTAGTCGGGGGTGTGCTGAAAAATCATCGATCTGTCCATGCACGAGGTTAGGGACCCAGAAGTGGGGGGAATTAGTGCGGTTGTACCGGATTGTTTGAAAACAGGTAGTTTGCAAGATTTAAGGTTATCTCATTTGGCTATCCTGGGTCCAAACAAAGTATTCTTGCTAAATTCATGCGCTGCGGAGCTAAAGAAAGATACTTCAAAAGCTCTTTGCTATTTTCTTAGCCTCCAAAAATACATGGCGATTATTAGCAAAAAATATTGGCCCTTACGCATAATTTTGCTGAATAAATCAGCAAAATTCCCCTCCCTAATGTTTGACCAACCTCTCTCTGTCTTCAGAGGCCTTCCACTGTCGAACGTTAGTTCCACACGCCGTTCTGTGGTGCCTCCGCCTTCACTAGCAGTGGTACGGTAGTATATAACCAAGAATTCACCCGAGCCGCGTAAATAACGTAACATTCTTATGCGTGTTCCCTCTAACCATATCTCTAACCTCTTAAAGCGTTTGTGATTACTAATAATTGAAGCAGATTTTTTGTAATTTTTTCGAACTCAAAATGTCTATCTTCTCTGTTTTTATACTTTCTAATTTAGGCTCTTGAGTTCTAGCTACCAACTCTTCAGGTGACTTTTCTCGTAATTCATCGAGTTTCCAATCTCATTTTGTAATTTTCATACCCTTCTGTTCTCTCTTATCTTGCTTCATCGTTTTATATTCTACTGGATATGTAAAGTCAGAGCGATCCGAGTTTGCTCCTTTGAATGACCAGAAAATTTCCTACGAACCACTTTGCTCTGGTTTTAACAAAATGCTCGAAAATCTGCTGATCTATGTACATGCCAACGTGTCATCGCGCTCCAGGACGAATGATTTCGTTGGTGGTTGGAGAAAAGAAAATGAGGAATTGACACCCTAAGTTTTCAACTTATCTTTCACTCCTAAAGGTTTTTGTTGAGTACGTCACAATCTATGAAACTAGTTATAACAAGGCTAGACACTGTGGCTCGACACTGGATTTCGCATTTATGCAAAATATCAGAATTTTTGACACCCTATCAACAGTATAATGAAACATACCTCGCTGCAAAGGATGGACAATTTGTAAAATCTTGCCTGCTTCGGTGATTGCAATCATGTGCAAAAACCATTCAAAACCACTGCTCTAACTTTGACTTTTCAGTGAAATGAATAGGCTTTGGAATGAACTTAGATGTGTTAACTGATAGATTGTACTTGCGCTCTTACGTCCTCGTTATTGGGTATACCTTGGAAGAATAACCATATGCGGGCATAATAAGGAAAACAGCCAAAGTGTAGTGATTATTTCCGAGTCTTCCAAGCGAGTATCTTGGGTATTCCTCAAATAGTAGTTACAGTTAAGGTTCACTGAAGTCCGCAGCCTTATTGCACCGAAATTCCAATGAGTTTTTTGATTTTTGTGCTCGTGAGCACTTTGCTTTGGAGGCTCATAACCATCGTACAAAGTTCAGTACATTACTTCAGCAAAGCAGGATATTGATTAGCAAGATTTCATGAATTTGGATTATTCAGAGCCATAGATGCTGTTCTGCCCTTTTTCCGGAAACTATCCGGAGAACTAGAAATCAACGTGATGCTTGCGCGTTTGCAAATTTTTTTTTGTTAACATTCCGATCTTTTGATTCATGCTGTTTGATGTTCTACTAACCAAATGTGGATCCATGCCTAGCCTGACAAGGGAACCTTCTTTAGTCGAAGTGGCCTTTCCATATGAAACTTATGTAAGTTTACGAACGGCGGTGTATCCTCTCTTCCTTTTCTGCCGAGCGAATCTCGGAAGAAATTATGAATGTTCAAAATTCCAAATTTTTTATGCTTAGGTAGCACAAAATTAGCGAAAAGCTGGACAAATCGCCTGAAAATAGGTAGATCAAGTATACTGAATAATAGAATAGAAATGGCCGGTGGAGATTCGCGCAGGTGTTTTTGTACGGCTTTTGCCAATTCAATGCTGCTTAAACTCGACAAATTCAGACTTCCAGTTTTCCGCAGAAAAGGAAGACACACAAAGTGATATAAGTTTCTTACGGAAAGGCCATTTTGACTTTAAAAAAAGCTCCCCTTATGAGCAACATAAACGTTGTTTTCCATCACATCCTAAACCAATTTATCCTTTTGCGATGTCATCTTAAGAGATCGATTTGTCACTTTGCGGCAAAAAGTTCTTCTTGATTCTGGAAAAATCTTTCGACTCTCTTGAATTACCTTAGATCCTTAGATCTAACCAGGCCTACAGTAATCCAAAGCTTGCAGCTAGTGATCGATATATCGATCTCTGCGCTGCAATGTGACAGATCATGCTCTCCATTTTGAGCAACATTGCGCTTTTTTGCATATAAGAATTCATTCTACTCTCACAGCGAGTGGTTGAACATCATCATCTGTCGTCATGCCGGCTAAGCTTAAAAACATTAAAGCCACCAAAACCACGTCACTTTGTGCACCAGTTTCAGATGACGTGGCTCTTCATTCTCATGCGTCTATTCCTACAACTATGGTGCAGAATTATATCAACACTGGCGGCCGTGGTACGACAATGAAGTCGATCGAGTCTGAGAAGGATCAGCTGATTGCCCAGCTGCATTCGATAATCGTGAACAAAGTACCTGACGCCCTGCCCCTGTTTGAGAAACTCTTGACTTTTCTCAATACAGACCCACATACCATTGTGGAAGCAGAGAAAAGATGCAGGTCTTTGGTGATTTACGGTGTCGAAGAAGCGGGGTATGATGCTGCTCCTTCTGAGAAGCAGAAACATACTGAGACAGCTGTTTCTAAAATCCTTGATATCCTTGAAGTTGAGGCTCGCCCAACGGAGGTGTACCGCATGGGCTCGTCCACTTCTGGGCGGCCTAGACTCATTAAATGTGTTTTGCCCTCCCAGCGATTTGTCTTCAAGGCATTACGGAATGCTCCGAAATTACGTTCCTCAGACGGCCACAACCAAATCTTTATAAGAAGGTCGATGACCCGAGAGGAACGTGCCAGAGACAAAGAGTTGCGAAAAAAAGCGCATGAAATGAACCTAGAGCATAATGGCGTAAAAATCTATGTGGTGTATAGAAATGAAATAGTTAAGGCCTCTGACATCCCAAACATAAAATCATCTCTTTCAAAAAACTGAATATGTTCCCTCCAGATAAACTTTTATGCCTTTTGTTCAATGCCAGAAGCCTCACCAACAAATTTCTTGAGCTACATCACCTCCTTTTTTGTATGAAACCTGCTATAGTTTTTATTACTGAGAGTTGGCTAACATCGAACATTTCTGATAATGAAGTGATTTCTGGCTTGCCGTACTCTATTTTACGCAGTGATCGATTCCACAAAAAAGGCGGTGGTGTTTGTGTTCTTATTCATACTGAATTATTGT